AATGTTTGTTGGTTGGCTGACCTGCTATCTCAGAACAGCCACAAAGGTGTTGATACTCAGGATGGGGACCAGATTCTATATAGAGCTTTATACCGTCTCGAAGACTAAAGGTGATTGAATAATCTTTCTATATCCACATTTGCAAAGTATCTGTAATTTCTTAAGAAATTACAATGAAAGAGAAGAATAACATATATAAAGCACTTACTGCTCTTTTCTGAGCCCATAATAAATTTCACCAAAAAAAAAGTTATATTAGAATCAAGATAGGAAGTTAGTTCATTTTCAATATACAATTTCCTTTAATGGTAGATCATAAATTGACTCAAATTCTAATGAGTTTCAGACAAATACTTCTGGCTACAGAACAAATCATGAATAAAAGTAAACACTGGAAATTCACCATCAAAGTTATTGGCTGACTGTGATACTTAGGTGCCCTCTAGTGTGTGTTGGTTTTTACATCAATTTCTTGCTTTGCACATCATGTGACTAAGATCTTATAATGTATTCAAATGTGATTTTTTTCCCAGTGCATTTTAATGTATGATGAACGGATCTATGAAAAATGGCCAAAAGACTGTGGAGCAATTGAATTAAAAAATCAATGATCCTACTCTAAGCCATTATTTACAAGCAAAACATGCAGTTTAGGTGGCCCCGAGTAATCAGGGAGTGTGAAGTTACTTGGGTTCCTACAAAATGTTGTATACTGTAAATACATAGGCATGATTCAAAAATAAGAGGTATGAAAGGTATAAAGTGAACAGTTGTGCTCCCACCTGTTCCCCTTCCAGTCTCTATGATTAACCATCTAAGTATCCTTTCACAATTTTTTTATGCATACCGAGCAAATGTGATATACATTTTATTCCTCTCCACCTTTTTATACTGTATACACTATTCTCCATCTTTAATTTCTCTCTTAATAATACATCCTGATAAATTGTGCATAAAATTCATAGAGAACATTCTCATTTTTAAAAATAGAGTTGTACTCTATTGTATAGATACACATAAATCATTTAAGTATTCCCCAAATGATAGACATTTGAATGGTTTCAGTCTTTTGTCATTACAAATAAGAATGAAATGGTCTTATACAGAAGTTATTTCAAAACTGCACACCTACAACTAGGATAAATTCCTAGGGGTGAAATGTGTTGGGTCAAACAAAAATAACAATTGCTAACACTTATATTGTGCTTACTATAAGCTAGCACTATGTATTCTACATATATTAACCCAATTATTTAATCTTCTTAATAATCTTATAAGGAAATTACTATTATCTCCATTTTAAAGATGAACAAACTGAGGCACAGAGAGGTTAAACCACCTGCCCAAGGTCAGACAGCTGGCAGGTGTTAGTGACAACCAACCTGGCTCCAAAGCCTATACTCTTAGCCATTACACTTTATTTTATCAAGGAGTGTATATATTTGTATTTTAAATAGATATTAACAAATTTTCCCCCATATTGGTTATACTAATTTATTCTCTCACTACCTTGACTACGTTTTTGCCTATAGGTTCTTCAAACTTTGAGAATTTTATTGGTTTAATTATAGGTGAAAAATAGAATCTCAATGTAGTATTAATTTGCATTTCTCTTATAATAACTGAGGTTGTATATCTTTTCATATGCTTAATACCCATATGTATTAACTTTTCTGTGAATTATCTATTCATATCTTTTGTGTATTTTTATATTGGTGTATTGTTCTTTTATTGATTTCTAAAATGTCTTTTATATATTAGAGATATACTACTTAAGACCCTTAAATTTGATTCAGCTGGGAATGGGTGCTTGCAACAAAACAATGTATTAAAAAGCTGAGTTTTCTTGGCTCTGTGTAAAGGTAATTGACATTCATTCATTCATTCATTCAACAATAGGTGTCATTTATCCTTTCATTGTTCTTAGTTGTAACATTTGTCATCTCTTTCAAAGAAATCAGAAAGGGAAAACAGATTTTTCGAACATTAAAATCTTCCAGAAGAATGCTGCTTAATCTAAAATCTGCCACCCCAACTTTGTACTTCCTACCCCCTAATCAAAGGAATACTCCTAACAGCCATTGAAACCGTCAGTGCTCTGTGGGTACTGATTTACTACACTTTGGCTTTAGGTTTCTGATAAATGCTCTACGTTGTTTATATTCCAGCTCCTTGATATTCAAAGTGTGGTCTGTGGACCAGCAGCCTTGACATCAGCTTGGAGTTGTTACAAATGTACACCCTTTAGTCTTACCTCAGACCTACTTTAACAAGATCCTGCGATGGTTCATAAGCACCTTAAAATTTGAGAACCAAATGATCGTTGGTTCTCAAAGTGTAGGCCTGATAGCAGAAGTGGCATCATCTTGAGCCACATAGAAAATTCAAATTTTTGGGCCCCATACTACACCTACTGAATCACAAATCCTTGACTTAGGTGCAGCCATCTGTTTCAACAAGCCCTCCAAATGATTCTGATGCACTCTAATGATTGAGAACCGCTGCTCTAGATCAATGAGTCTCAAGCCTGGCCAAACATTAGAATCACCTAGAGAGTTTCGAAAACTCCCCATGCTTACAGGGCACCCCAAATGAATAAAATCAGAATTTTAGGACTTCAGGCCAAGGAATCAGTATTTTAAAAAATTTCCAGATGATTCCAATGTGAAGTCAAAGGTGAGAACTTCTGCTCTGTCTGGAATCATGCTTCTCAAACCTGGCTTCATATCAGAGTTACTTGAGGGTCTTTAAAAAAAAATACTGATGCTCAAGATCTCATCCAGAGATGTAAATTGGTCCCGATGGAGCTGAGAATCACTTCTTAAAAATATTTAGTTTCTCGGGTGATTCTAAGATCCAGCCATGATTTCAAACTACTGCTCTAGAAATATCATTTCCCCCACATAAACTCCAAGTCATACTAAAAGAAAATAAAGTTTGGAGGTGATGGAAGAGATACATTTTTCATTCCCCACATACTTACTGAGTATGTTAGGCTAGTTTCTATGAAGATTAAAAATAGGTCCAAAGAATATTTCCTGCCCATAAGAATATATAATCTGTATTGACAGAAAAGACCTGCACACATTTCATAAACAAATAATGATTTGAAAGGAACATATCATTCTATGCTACTGACTATAATTCAATAAAACAAGTTACATGCATCATTAAATCATTGTTAGGCCAAACTAATTTCTACCCTTTTTTAAAGAATAGGAGTGAAATATATGTTGAAATGGTTAAAAAACACATTTGAATACAATTAGCAATCAGCCTTTAGACATTTGAACCTGGAAAAAGCACTGGACAAGGTCAATACCCAAAGACTGAGAAAGCCTAAAATGCTTTAAGGTCTCCTCCTCCTTGGCATAGTTAAAATTATGGTATGGAATCACTGACAATCGATTTACTCCAACATTGTTTAGTAAATTAAATTATAACTACTAAAAAATTGGTAATTAAGATATCAGTAATTAAAGAGCTTATAATAAATATTTTCCCTTTTATTATTAGACATAATTATTTTGTCCTAACTCTTTGCCTCTCCTCTTATATTGGATTCTTTTGAGAACATGTTTAAAAATAATGAAAAATAACCTAGTCTGGGAGAAATGTCTAAGTATAAAAATTTTTTACATATATTAGACTGTCAAATTTATTTATATTTTTAAATGAGCAATCAAAATTCAAAATTTTACATAAGTGTTATGAAACAAAAAAGTACATTGAACATTTAAAATTGGGTCAAAATTTTGAAAACTGTATATTTGTTTCAACAATTCAGCTAAATATATACACTCATTCCTTTGTTTTCTTATTAGTTACAAAGGCAAGGATGAGACATAATCCTTTACAACTATAGGAGACCCTTTTTTTTTTCCCTCTTTTTAAATGTGAAGATCTAGTTGGCTTTATTAAGTGATTCATTAATTGGGCAACATCCCATGTAATAACTAGAAAGGTACTTCCTAGGAAAGGAGTTTCAAAATTTTAAAAAAGTCATAAATGTTATCGCATCTATCTTATTCCATGATAAAATACAGGCTAGAATAGATTAAAGCACTTTAAATAATACTAATTTAGAATTAAAATAGGCACCCCTGTTTTATGTAATAACTTCTCCATATCTGAAAATGATCCCACATTAGTAGATGATGCATTTCAAGTTGTTTCCCCAATAAGGGTGAGATATGCACTGATTCAACCACACTCCTTTCTTCTATCCATGGGTGCATTTACTAGGAGGTGGGCAGATATGATCTTTATGTGTATCCATGAAACAGAACTAAGTTTACTGGCTCCAATAGGTTTTGAATCCATCATCTGAGATAGAATTGACCTTCAAAATCATCAGATGAGAAAGGGAGAACATTTATTATTATCTCAATTTTATAGATGGAGAGACTAAGTTTTAATCATATCACATCATTTGCATAGGATAATAAAGGGTGGTGCAGTCATTATCAATGGGGGTTGGAAAGGTACCGCATGTTGTCTCCTATCTCCCTCCCACTACCACTCAATAAGTATACAGGATATGATTGAGAATTACTTCTGTATCTGAGTTACTGTTATCAAGAGTGTCGTGTCATCTCCAGTGTGTGGGGGGCATTTATTAGTGTTGAAAACCAACGCTGTAGTGAAAACAAAGGCAATCGACACAGAATCAAAACTTTAGTCCTATATTTTATCTATTGGAGTATGCAGTTTAAAAAAATTCTATGGTTCCTTGAATGGAAACATTTTGGAGATAAAAACTGAATTACAGCAATTACAGAACTATAAACTATTGATGACTTTTATTTTGCTCTTAGGAATTTATGGAATAATCCCTGTCATTCTTCAAAGTGGGGGAAGGTATAGGGCATTTGATTTATTGAGCCAGGTGGTTGCAGTGTTACATCATTAACCCAAAGGAAGTGATATCCAGCAGTTTCAAATAAAGGCAAATTCCAGGTTAGTGCTTTGGACAAGATTTTTAAATAGCTTCTACGTACCTGTTCTGTGCGAGTTTCCCCCCTTTTTTTATTGTGAAGTTGAAGATAAGAGCCCACTTTAGGAGTAGGTAATCCCAAAGTTAGCTTGTTTTTTTCCACAAAATATTGTTTGGACTTCCTTCGTCGAGGGCCACGGGATCCTGGTAAGAAAACTTCATTATGTGAACTTGAACTTTTCAAGCACTGAGAGAGGTTGCTCGACTTCTCCTCCAGATCGCTGTCACTTAGGTCTGAAAAATGCTTGCTGCGATGGGCCCCAAGCTCATAGTTTGGGCTTAAAAATTCACTACCAAGTAAGGAGGCTTCGCTCTGTGGGCTCTTTTTCTCTTCACATTTTCCCCCTGCGAGTTCCATTGAAGTCTCCTTGGAAGGGTAGAGTGGATCCAAAGTCAGATTTTCTGTAGAGCTGTCTACAGACTCCAGCGATGCTTCCACAGTCAACAACTGCCCTTCCTCTTTCTTATTCTTCCAGTTTGGGTCATATCGGAGGTCTGAATATTTGTCTTCTTTTGGTTGTTGACTGCCGAACACAGAAAAGAAATGTCAAGTACTTAATCAAGATAAATTTATTCATTATATTTTATTGATCATTTATATGAAATCAATCTCAATCTTTCCTTTTATTATTGATATGTTAAAGACAGATCCCAGGGTCAAGTTAGGCACGCATACTACACATAAGGGTAAAAAAATCTTAATTACTTATCAAAATATGGAATAAAAACAGGGGACAGTTAATTTCTAAATGCTAGGAAACAAATGAAAAAATGTCTGTAACGTTAAGCCAGTGAACCACTGTGGTTCAAGGAGTGCTATTATTTATGCACACCAAAAGTGTTTCAGCAGGTGAAGATAAAATTGATTTCATATTTTAGTTGGTCATATACATATCTGGCTATTTATCTAGGATGGGAAATGAGATTGTCACCTGGACATTTGCCTCAGTCTGCTCCCTTTTTGAAGAGAAAGCAAGGTTTATCTCTACTGAATACCTACATAGATTCATTATCCTTTTCAGTGATTTTATTTTTCAGTTAATTTTGTGTTTATCTACTAGATTTTATCAAATGTACTACAGAAAGATCCTCAAGGTTAAGAATCAGAAAGTGGCTCACTGAAAAGCTCTTAGTTCATAGTCTCTTGGTTGTCAGGCCTATCTATGTACAGAAAACTCAGTAGACAGGTCAGTGTGCACTTTAAGCTGTAGTACAACCCTATTTTAATAAAAGGTTAAGTATATGGTCCTGGCTGAGGGAAGTAAATTCATTCATAACCAGTGCATGTGACTCCAAATAAAGTTCTCCCTTCCCCCAAGGCAATCTCAATTTGTAAAGTCTTAACCAAAATAGAAAAAAAATGCTGGTAATATGGCATATTTAATGGCCCCTTTGATCTTCAAAAGCTAAATGGGAGAGATTTTCCTTCCTTGAGTTCAGTAGATGCAATCCTCTAATCAAAAAGGAATTCTAAATCACCTAGGCTTTTTATGCTATTTGATATTCCCGTTTACAGAAGACATAATTCTATGCTGGGTAAACAAACTAATGGTGCCCCCTAATACTAATTTACTCTTCTTAATGTGGACTTAGATTTCTTTGATTTGATGTAAAGTAAAAACTAGAGCAAAAAGCCAAAACTTCCATGTCTTTTTAAATTGTCATTTTGAATTTTTTAGTTCACATATTAAGATGGAAAACTTTTTGGAAGAGGCTGCTCTTCCTTTTCCAGGAAGGGAAGATAAATGATATTCTCCTCTAGCAAAATGCTTGCATAGAGATGGTTTGCGTCTGTCAGGAAACTGAACATCAACCTGTGTGAGTCATACTCCCTATGCACCATGCGTCACCTGCCTCTGGAGCTTCGATGAGATTTTTCCTGTGTGATGAACTCACAGTATTCCCATCACATGAACTCACAGTATTTTTTGGTTATGCCTTTCACCTGGTTGTAAAGGTCACTGGATATGTATTAGAGGCATGAAGTGATCCAGTAGGGCACATCTGGACTTGAGACTTGACAGATCTGGGTTCAAGCTCTAGGTTTGTTACTACCTATCTGCATCAGCTGGCTGATCAAGTCATCTCTGACCTAGTTTCTGTCATCTGTAAGTAAGAATAAATTATATTTATTATGTTTATTTCTCAGGATTGCATAAGGATCAAAATGGGACATTACATCTGAATTAATGTTCTGTATTTGTGCTCCTTTTACTTTTCACTATGAAGACCTTGTCTCCTCACCTAGTTAAGGTCGTGGGCACCAGGGACTGAGGGTTACCCTTCCTTCCCCAGCCTCTGCCCTAGTACTCTGCCCTCTGCTGTGGACAGAAGAGTCAGTTAAGTATTTCTTAAATAAATAACTGAGCCTCTAAAAATACTCTAATCGACACAAATGTAGCATTAGATATTTATTTTAAAAGACTAATAGTAGCAGAAGACCTTCTTGCATTGGACTAAATTAGTAAATGATTTTAGGGCTTATTTTTATTGAGTTAAACATAAGGTTCAATTGTGGTTGGTTAGGTGTGGAAAAATATTAAGGAGTACCTCAATTATATTTTCAGGTAAACAAAAATATAAAACATTATTTAAAGAAGAAAGGTGCTATTTCATGATATGTATGATATATTGAAAGGAAAGAGAGATTTTAACTCTCTTTGTTCATTCATTTGCTTGACTCAACAGAATTTAATTTTCTTTACCCATTTCCATTTGCTCACTCATTGATTCTACAGGTATTTACTGAGCACTTACTAAGCTAGAGGGATACAGTGGTGGACACAGAGCCTAGTGGAGAATACAGACAAGGAAAGAAGTGATTAACAATTGGAGTAATGAGTGTCCCGATGAGGGGCACGGGGCCATCAGGACTCAGGAGGGATATCCAATCCCATCTTGGAAGATCAGGGAAAGCTTTCTGAAGGAAGCAATGACTTAGCCGATGCCTAAGGCTAAGAAGGGCAGGAAGTGTATGCCATGCTGTGGGAACAACATATAAAAAGGAATGGAGGGGAGAGAAAACATGGTGCTTTCCAAGAACAAATTAGTATGGATAAAATGGAGGCTGAGAGGAGGAAACGTTGAGGAGTAGAGCACAGTGTTAAGCAGAGGCGAGATACTGAAGGGGTTTGTAAGTTCCATGAAGGAGTTTGGCTTACCTAAATTGAGAGGTATAATTTAATTTACCAAAAATAACATAGAGAGCAAAGATGTTAGTAAGACAAAGACTCTTGAGTTTTTTGGAAGGAAGTATCTATGAAGGCTATAAGGTCTTGGAAAGTTTTAGAACAGGTAGTCCTTTGCACTGTTTAAACCAGGGGTCGGCTACCTTTCACAGTGATACATCCTGTGGGGATCGCTCTTTTGCTACTTAGTCATGGGGTAGGATGTGGAGTGCTGACTTTGGGAAGATAGCACATATTATTACATGCTGATCTAGGAAATGCTTATAGTGAATCTCCAGTTTTTTCCTCAGAACTACCCTATCAGGAAGGTACTATTATATTCCCCATTTAATAGATAAAGAAACCGAGGCTTAGAGAGCTTATGTAACTTTTACAAAGTCACAGAGCTAACAAGTGGTAGGGCCAGGATATAGATAGACAGTCTGTTTCAGGACCTAGCTCCTGTCCATTAAGTTGCCCTGTATCAATGCAGCTGCTTTTGTAGGTGGTAGTGAGGCAAGCATTGCCATAAGGCCTGCCTTATGTAAGTTACTGAATCAGTCAGTCAGTCAAATGGCCAGTCAACAAATATGTACTGAGCAGTTCCACAGGTACTAGGCACTGAAGACAGAGTGGTGAGCAAAACAGAAGCAGGCTGACGGATCCTACTTGCTAGTGAGGAAGACAGGCTTTTTGTTTCAACTGTAAAAATCAAATAACAAATTAGATGCAGAAAGAGATACAGAATATTATGGGTATTTAAAATAGGAGGACAACCTTGTTTATTACTGAAAATATGTTAACCTCTGATTTCCAGATTCAGTTGCTAAATGATATCTGAAAGTCTATTCCAACTCTTGTTCTATGATCCTATGATAAACTCACAAAAGAATTAATAACTGAGGAATGTCCCCTATTTTTTAAAAATAGGTACTCTTCAATGATTGAAGGAAATGGATTTCTGACTTCCATCCCTGCAGTAATACTAAAAAAAAACCCCCAAAACAAAAAACTGGCACTCAGTCTGGTCATCATATTTAATCAGCACCAGTTGATAATGGTATAACATCTATAGTATGGTTATAGACCTTCTTCAGTCATGTGAAATCGCCACAGTGCTTTGCTTCTCTGAATAATAATAGGAATATATTGGTTCTGGGAAATGGTATAACAGAGTATCTAAGGACATGGGTCATGGAATCAGACTGCCCGCACTCAATTCCTTGTGCTACCAGTTACTGTATAAGCATGGGCAAATTATTTAACTTCTCTCTGCCTCAGCTTCTTCATCAATAAAATGGGGATAATAATAGTACCTATCTCATAGTGTGGTTGAGACAATTAGCAAACTGATTATATATACATGTACATATGTATATATATATGTGTGTGTGTGTGTGTATATATGTATGTGTGTGTACATATATATATATATATATATATATATGTTTAGATAAGTCCTTGTATATGTATTGCATTATGTGTTCACCTCCCATAGTTAGAGTTCTTTCTGTCACCACATATTTGACCCCTTTTACCCCATCCGCCTACCTCCTCACCCCTCCTCCTCTTCCATCTGGTAACC